CTTATCATGGAGGGATTTTTTCATATATTAAGATGATTGTATGATTGTTAACCTTCGTTCCGTTGATTGATGAAATAAGCTTATGAATTTGCATATGTTGAACCATCCTTGCATCCTTAGGATAAAACCAACTTGATCATGGACCTTAGACACCTCTGATTTTATTTCTTTGAGTGTTCTTTTTTTTTTAACTTTGGTTAAGATTTTTTGGTTGGTTGGTTGGTTGATTTTGTTTGTTTGGGAAATAGGGTTTCTCTTTGTAGCCTTGACTTCCCTGGAACTCACTTTGTAGCCCAGGCTGGCTTCAAACTCAGAGATCCGCTTGCCTCCTGAGTACTGGGATTAAAGGTGTGCACCACCACACCTGGCTAAGATTTTATTTCTAGTTGTCTAGCAGTGGTACTTTCACTTTACTGGATGGTAATTATGAGGAGGCAAAGAAACGTTCCTTAGTTCTAGTCTTTGGCAGCCTGTAAGTCCTCAGTATTTGACATGGCATGACAGCAGCAGACAGACAGGAGCAGCAACAGATGGGGCCTCTCATGTTCCAGCTCTCATAGATACTGAGGTATCAGGACTCTTCTCCAGCGAGTGTTGCAACCCTTTGCAAGGGAATTGAGGATCTAGAAAGTCAAGGTTCCACAGTCTTTGGCAGTGACTGTCATTACACTGTCTGGATTTAAGTATGAGGATAACCCAACTATAAGCAATGACTTGCAGAAGCTTCCAGACCTAAAGTGTTGGGATTCTCCAGCTCTTGACAGCAACCAGTACTATAGGTCTCAAACTTAGGTGTCTGAAACTGTTGGTGATTGAGGGTTGGCTGCTTCCTGACACTTTGAGTTAACAGGGTCTGCAGTTTCTCTTTTGGGGGTCTTTGTGATATAGTTAATATTTTCTACTACATGGTTAAAAAGGTAGCTTCAGAGACTGGTGAGATGGCTCAGACAGTAAAGGTACTTGTACCAGGCCTGATGACCTGAGTTCCATTCCCCTCGATCCACATGGTCCTGTGACCTCCATACATGTGACTGTACCACAAGCAGCCCCTGCCACACACACACATACAAAATAAATAAAATGTAATTTAAAAAAACAGCTTTTGATAGAATCCAGCTATGCCTCTCCCTCTATTCAAAGTAACACAATTGACCCAAGAGACTCAGCTTCGAAGCCATCATTAGAACAGCAAGTGACTTAAGACGGGTCACAAAATGAATGTACAGAAGCCAATCATTTCCATGTCAAAGTCATTAGAGAATCAAATAGTAACAGGAACTCGCCACAGTGGCAAAAAGATACATGTAAAATGCTTATACCAATTTATTTGATAAGACAATAGGATGTAAATGAAGAAAAAACAATTATGAAGCTCCATCAAAGGACTTGAATCAAGATGAATTTTGAATAAATAGGATGCCAGATGGTGTCTGTTGTTGGGATAGCCCTGTGTAACCCAGAGAGTCCCAAATCTCTGAGATTTTCTGGCTCAATTATTTCTTTGATGGCTCACTAATTCCTTATATTAGGGGACATTGCTTGCTTCTTCAAAAACCCCTAATCATTTCTAGAGATGACTGGGGGGCTAATGTTCCCCTTGATCAAAGTTAACCACAATTATTTTCTGTTCTCTTATTACTTGGTCATCTACATATTCACTTACACCCTAATCACTCGATGTTTAGTAAGTGCTTACCATGTCCTAAGTACTCCACAGATGCCCACTGGCCATTGCTATGACTGCTGGCAGTGGGGTGGCCTCTGGAAGCTGCCCTTGGCTCAGAACATGATCTTTTGTCTCACACCGTCCCCGTGAAGCCCTGGTAGCAGTGGGCTATTTTATCCAAGGTTTATTATAAGGTTTCAAGGATGCTCTTCTTCGTGGATGAGCACTGTTGGAGAAGGAATACAGATAGAGACTGTGAGTAAAGACTGCGAAACAAGAAGCAGAGGGAGACTAAGTTCATGGGCATCCCTTGTGGGCCATTTCTCATCCCACCCTTTATCTTTCATATAACTTGCCAGCATGGTTTGGGATTGCCTCTTCCTATTTTTTTATCATCTCCTGTTTATCATGTCAGCCTCTGCCATTTCTGGACCTCCTCTGTAACACATCTCCCCAACACTAATATTTAGAAGCTCAAGTATATTTATTTTTAACTACAGTAAATGAAATGATCTCTGTCTCTCCTTACTCTTAGGGGTTTATAGTTTTTATTTGCCTAACTAAGGACACTGTTATGATGCTGTGGTCCTGAAAAGAGAACTTCTCACCCTTTGGGAGACATTCTGATATCCACAGCATGTTTTATAATATTTTTCTTTCCTCTTACTGCATTGGGATTTTGAAGATACCAAGTCTTTTCTAAGCAAATAAAAGAGATCTCCAACTAGAGTCCCCATATTTTTCTTTAATGTAATCTCCTTAAAGTTAATTACATTGAAATCATTTAAAAAACAATAAGACAAATCTCAAAAAGAATGATAATAGAAAGATAACTGTACTAATGGTTTAATATAAATACCACTCCAATGGTAGAATGAGAAAACAGAAATTGAAAACATCACAAAGTCCAGAAACTCAATTAAGAATAGAAGAGCATTTAGAAAATAATGAATGCAGTATGAAATACCAAGAGAAAAATACAGAGAAATATTTTTGGAACAAGAGACCAATGAAGGTCTTTCTAACCATGGGAAAATGAGCAGCATTCTTAATAAATCTGTTGTTTAAATGCGGGATGTCCCACACAAGAGTAAAGCTCAGAAGCACTATGCTAAGTAAAAGGAGCCAGATACAAATGCCATGTATTGTATGATTATGTTTATTCAAACCACCCAAAGTAGGATAAGGCAAACCTAAAGGGACAGCTAGTGGTCATCAGAGAATCAGACAAATGACTTAACACTGAGTAGTGTAAACAGTGATGAAATGTTCTGGAATAGGTAGTGATGGTGGTCAGAGCAGCTTTTAAAAACTTTATTGCTTGAGAATTTCATATGTGCACATAATGTGGTTTGGTCAAATCTATCCCCAACTTCCTCTGCTGTAATCCTTCCCATATCCCTACTACCACTCCTCCCTAAAGGAGTGTATGCTTTTTCAAACCCACTTAGTTCCCTTTGTACCAACAGTAACTACATATATGCAAGGCCATCCACTGGAGCATGGACAATCTATCAGGGCTTGAATTGCTGAAGAAAACTGACTCTCCTTTCCCCAGAAGTCATCAGTTTCTGGGTGGGACCTTGTGAGCCCTTCCCCTTAAGTGCTACTCTTTGAGTTGGCTTGATCTTGTACTGGTCTTATGCATGCAGTCACTGCCAGTGTAAGTGCATGTGTACAACAGCCTCACTACACCTTAGTAACACTGTTTTGTGTCAGTCTTCCATTATCTCTGTTTCTTATCTCCCTGCCCCCCCCTTATACAATGATCCCTGAGCCTTGGGGGAGAGGGTGTGATACAGATTTCCCATTTAGGACTGGGCACTCCTCAATCTCTTACTTGCTGCATATGGATCAGCTGTGAGTCTCTGTGTCAGTCACCACCTACTGCCAATGGAAGCTCTCTGATAAGGGTTCACCAGCTAGTTGTATACATTAAAGGCAGGGTTTTTTGATATATCAATTTGTATCGATTTTTAAAAGATATTAAGGAAAGTTCTACTTGGGGTATTTATAAGAAAATGAAAATCTGGCATACAGTTAAAGAATGATCAAAGAACACTTTAAGGTAAATGATTACTAACTGTATAAAGTACAAATTAAAGCAATGAGATGGAATATTTATTTACCTGGAAGCATGAGAAGAAATTCTAAGTTTCCATTCTTGGGTAGAATGTAGTCTAAATGGTTATTCTGATACTGGCTCTCAAGAGAAATTTTATAGCTTCTCCAAAGATTTATATTGTTTCCCTGCATTTTCATTTCTAGGAACTTCTTTTAAATCAATATTTGCTACTTAAGTAGCAGGTAGTAAAGTCCTGTTGACACTGCAGCATGCGCTTGCTGCTAGGGAGAAAAGTCAGAGTGAGAAGTATATAAAATACAACAGACTTATGAAGTGCATTTGCAAAGCCCAGAAAGATACATTCCCATGTCTGAGTGATTGCCTCATATTGGCAGGATAATATATTTGTGCTTTCTTGATTATATTTATATTTTCAGATAACTATGATTTCCAAATACTCCATAATAGTGTCCTTTATGATAATAAATTATTTCAGTTTTTTACTTTTAAATGTTACTTATTATTTTTGCTTGTTTGAAACAAGGTTGTGATATGTAGCCCAGGCTACCCTTGAGCTCTTTCCTCCTCATGCTTTTGTACCCTGGGTGTCAGAATTACAGGTGTGAGCCACTATGCCCAGCTAACAAATTCATTTGGTGTCCTGCATTTTCAACTGTGAGAAAGCTTTCTGGTTCTTGTTTTGGCTTCGTGAACCCCTCAGCAGGAATAAGATTAGAAAAGGCAAGGGTCCTTGTTCTTCTCCTAGGACTAGACCAGTGACTCTCAACCTTCCTCATGCTGTGACCCTTTGATACAGTTCTTCGTGCTGTAGGGACCCCCAACTATAGAAGTTTTGTTGCTACTTCATAAGTGTAATTCTGCTGTCGTTGTGAATCATAAATATCTGTGTTTTCTGATGGTAACAGGTGACTCCGATGAAAGGATTGTTCAAGCCCCTCACGGGCCAGGACCCACAGGTTGAAAACCACTGGACTGGAGTGTCAGGAGAGCTATAAAAATCCTTCAAAGCCATGTTCTCACTTTCTACCCATAGGGGTTGTCTTCCAAGGGGGTTAATAAAGTTTGGGGATTTGATCAAAGGGTCAGTGGTGGTTATATAACATGGAACATTATAAATTAAAATGTTTTCAAGATTTTTCTGTTTCAAGTACAGCTATGTATGTACTACCATGCGCACATTCAAATGGTACTCTTCCAGTAAGGAATTTATGTCCCTTAATGTAACAATGTCTTCTCCCGTTTTCCTAGACAGAATCATGAATAAACGGGAGGATAAGCAGGACCAGATGATACCATGAAGAGAAGTTTACAGGCCCTCTATTGCCAACTGTTAAGTAAGTGCATGGCGTGTTTATTCTTTACTTGGAATATGATGCTAAGGTTATCACTTACTGAGCTCCAGGATCTCTGTGGAGGAAGACCAGGGTTGGGTCATTTTCCCTCTGCCTCATCTAGATAAGCCACCACACATCAAGTTGATCTCATGTCTTAGGCATCCATCATACATGTAGACCCCATTATAATTCTAGTGTGACTTAAGTATCATTAGTTCTAATTGCACACCCCCAAAAAATGTGCGATCGTTCTTTGTTCCATGGTACAATATAAGGTGTGGTGGTATGATCTTGTGTTGATTCATCATGGGAAAGAACTGGTAGATGGTATTTCCTGGGTTTTTTGTCACATGGAACCTGATAGTCTTTGGGGACCGCAGAGCCTTTGGCTTGGAATGTGATGCATAGTTCTGCATGCTTCTCAAACATGGAATGCGTGGAATAAATGTGGTTTCTTGGTTTGCAGCAGATAAGAAGTCTGACTTTCTGTGTGTTGCTTCTGTACTTTCGGGGAGGTGGGCTTCATTGCAAGAGAATTGGGACACGGCAAAGAACAGCCAATGATGGTACTTGGGATGGGAATAACTATTGAGTTGAATGTAAAGCCCAGTGCAGCCCATGCTTTTGATGCTCTGGACAACTCACTTGGCACAACAGACACTGGCCACTCTGAGTCATAGCAGAGCCACTGAATTGGAAGCCTTGTGCATGGAGCTCATTGTGTTTGTCTAGCCTGGTGGGGAGGCAGACGGAAGACAGGTCTTTCCTAAACTGGCAGGGCCTGACTTTTGCTGAGAGAATAAAATGAATCAAATGAAAACATTTGAGATGCAAATCACTAGGCAGTCAGCCAGCAGAATTTCTGACCTAGGTTAGATTGTTGTAGCTTGTGCAAAGCTCTTTATCTACACACGGTTTTGGGCCAAGCGTTTTAATTGGCTCATTTCTTCTGCTGAATTCTAATCCCAGAAACTCATAAGGCTTCTTCAGCCTGCTGGAAAGTTGCCAGGATTTATGGGGACATTCTTCTGTTCCTTTTTCTGTGTGATCTATGGGACCATAGTGTTGTTCTCTCTCTCTCTCTCTCTCTCTCTCTCTCTCTCTCTCTCTCTCTCTCTCTCT